AAGATGAATAAAGCCTCATAGCATTACTACCGGTGCAGAACAGAAAACGCCCCGCCAATCAAGGCTCTAGCAGATCTGCCAAGGGAAAGCCATTACAATTTATGTTAAGGGTTACAGTGGTCTTTTTCTACACTGAAAAGCTCCAGAGCCTTTAGCCTTGTCCAACCCCATGGTCATTTTCAACCCCATGGTCATTTTCATCCAGCTGTCCATCCATCTGACCCTGCCCATCTGATGAAAAAGAATAGGAGATTGGATTTATACCCCGCCCTTCACACCCCAAAGGAGTCTCAGAATGGCTTACCATTGTCCTGCTCCGGGGGTCGCAGCCAAGAACCAGCCCACCCCGGGAGCCCCGGAAACTCACCAGCCCACCCCGGGAGCCCCGGCAACTCACCCAAGGACGCCAGACGACCCGCCGGCAGCACGAGGGAGCGACGCGGCTGAGCGACGCGACTCCCCCGCCAACGCGGGCGGCGACCGGGCAGGGAGAAGCCCCGGTCGGGCCCGAGCAAGGAGCCGGGGAGCCGGGGAATTCAGGCGGGCGGCTGGGTGTGGCGCCGGGAGGGAGTAGCAACAGAAATGGCCCATAGAGTCGGGCCAGCTGATCGGCGGTGGCAGTGCGGCCCCGGGGGCCGCAGGAGCCGCCACCGGCGTGCGCACACACCGCCCGGAGACGCCCAACGGCGTCTCCACTGATATAGGGGGGCGGGGCAAAGAGCACGGGGAAATTGGGGGCGGGCGGAGGACGGCGGAGGCTGAATAAAAGGGGGGCTAAGAGAGGGCCGGGGAGGAGAGCACGCCGAGACGGAAACGGAACAGAGAGATACCGATTGGAGACAGAGAGAGAGAACCAGGGAAGAAGGGCGCAGTCACGGCGTGCAGGCAGAGGGGCGCTGAGGGGTGCTTCTAACCCCGCCCCCTGCCAATCTGAGGCCACCTCTCCCCCGCTTTCTGACGACGCTGTCTCCTTCCGACCAGCCCTCAACCCCTTTGGGCTGTGGGACTGACGCTACCCCACTACGGCCACCGGGGGCGCCATCCCGAAGGCCCTCCCCCTCCCCACAACAGAGGTAGGAGGGTCCGAGAGAGCTCTTTCAAGAACTGCTCCTGAGAGAACAGCTCTGAGAGAACTCGTGACTGACCCAAGATCACTCCAGCAGCTGCTTGTGGAGGAGTGGGGAATGAAACCCAGTTCTCCCAGATTAGAGTCTGTGCTCCTAACCACTACACCAAACTGGCTCCTGAAGTGGTCTGTAGAGTTTTTGAAGTTGCCACAGGCATACTTTCTAGTCTGGAGAAATATTTTCCATATTAGAGTCACAGAAGAACACCAACACTTTGGGGAGATTCCCAGACACAATGATGGAAAGTGCAGTCAAGTCGCAGCTGGCTTACAGCAATCTGACAGGGTTTTCAAGGCAAGAGACCTTCAGAGGTGGTTTGCCATTGTCTGCCTCTGCGTAGCAACCCTGGGGTTCCTTGGTGGTTTCCCATCCAAATACTAGTCTGGAGCAGCCCCTGCTTAGCTTCCAAGACCTGACAATGTTGAGCTAGCCTGAGACATCCAGGCAGGAATAAAGGCACAGTAAGAGGTGTAAACTCCACTCAGAGAGTCTGCTTGCAGGACCTGCAAAGGCACCCAATGCCAAAGTAAGACAATGATTATGATTTCTGTTAAGGGAGCCAAAAGCAGAAAGCCCAGTCCTAATGAGCAAACTCACATAATAAACAACAACTTTGTGGCCAACCCACTTTAAGCTTTGTAGACTTGATAACAGGCTCTTCTGTTCCTTATTATAGGAAAGCAACGTTGGATCTGCTTAAGCACACAATCTGCAGTGCCATCGATGGAAGTCGGGTTGCAACTCTGGGCTCAGACACAGATCCCTGCCCCCCACTGGTTAAATGGGTGAACTGCAGGCAACCATTCAAACTGGGACACAACCCTCACAGCCCAGAATCCTCCTGGTGTTTGGACCCAGGTGATCCCAAACAGCCAATCAAGAGCTACTAAGGCTTCCAGATCAGCCACACTTATCCGCTGCAAGACTTACCGAATTGTCTCGATGATTTCATGAGCAGCATCGTGGTGTTTGTCCTGCAAAAGGAGAATGAGAAAACAGATTTAGGAACACCTGGAAGTCACCGTGCATGCTGACCTTCCTTTTAAGAAACCATATCAGTAGCAAATGCAGAGAAAGGGAACTAGACGCAGTCAATTAACATAAGAACATAAGAGATGCCAATGTTGGATCAGGCCAAAGGCCCATCCAGTCCAACACTCTGTGTCACACAGTGGCCAGAAATACCAGTGCCATCAGGAGGTCCACCAGTGGGGCCAGGACATTAGGAGCCCTCCCACTGTTGACCCCCCCCCAAGCACCAAGAAGACAGAGCATCACTTGCCCCAGAGCCCCTATCTATACCTTGTGGCTAATAGCCACTGATGGACCTCTGCTCCATATGCTTATCTAATTCCCTTTGGAAGCCGTCCATGCTTGTAGCCGCCACCACTTCCTGTGGCAGTGAATTCCATGTGTTAATCACTCTTTGGGTGAAGAAGTACTTCCTTTTATCCGTTCTAACCCGACCGCTCAGCAATTTCATGGAGTGCCCACGAGTTCTTGTATTGTGAGAAAGGGAGAAAAGTACCTCTTTCTCTACCTGCTCTTTGCCATGCATAATCTTATAAACCTCGATCATGTCACCCCTCAGTCGTCGTTTCTCCAAGCTAAAGAGCCCTAAGCGCCTCAACCTTTCCTCATAGGGAAAGTGTTCCAACCCTTTTATCATTCGAGTTGCCCTTTTCTGCACTTTTTCCAAAGCTATAATATCCTTTTTAAGGTGTGGTGACCAGAACTGCACACAGTATTCCAAATGAGGTCGCACCATTGATTTATATAGGGGCATTATGATATTGGCTGATCTGTTTTCAATTCTTTAAAAAATTGCTTCAGATGCCTTTAAATTCCCCCCCCCCATCCTATTTAATCTCCTCTGAACCAAAAAATACTGTTTTCAAAACCTTCCGGTGAGCAGCAAACACCATCATGCACGCTGCATAAGAACAGGAACCTGGTGTGGCCAGTTGGGTTATGTATCTGGACACAGTCCACTAGTAGCCCCCCAAAAAAACCAGAGCTGCCTCCCAAGACGGTGTCATGACCTCATCCCAACATGACTACCAAACACTGATCAGGATATACCATAACGTTTGCCCTTGGTATGATCAAAAAGAAAAACACTCTGTACAATAAACAAGCCCTCCATTTTAATATCACCTCTCTTTCAGATCACGTACTTTATAGCCACACTGAAGGTAGGCATGGGGGGGGGGGGGGGAGAGAGATTTTAAAAAGGAACAGCTGGATAATTTCACAAAACTCAGTCCTCAGCAAGCCCCAAGCAAGACTTAAGTTAGCTACAGCTTAAAGATCGTGTTGTATGTCTTGGTTTTGACCCAGGGTCAGATCCCCCCCCTACCATGAAGGTCACTGGGAGACCACGGGCCACTGTCTCTTGGCTCAACCTGCCTCACGGGGCTGCCATGGAAGGAAAATGGAAGTAGTGGCAGCCAATGCTCCCTCTAAGCTGTGGAGTCTTGTGAGCAAAAATTCTACTTTGTGAACTACTGGCAATAAAGTTGTGAGCGAGTGATTCAGCCGTTGCATAAATCAGTTTGCGCTGGAGCCCTCCTTCCAGAGCCAAGACAAAAATCTGTGAGCTAGAGGCTAAAAAAATGTGAGCTGGCTCACACTAACTCAGCTTAGAGGGAACACTGGTCACTGACATCCATCCGGCCTTCTTGGAGGAAGAGAATAAAAATGTAATACACAAACATGGCTAATTCCACTGCTTTTTCTGCTTCATTTTGCCCACCAGCTTTCCCCCGTTTTGCGTTACCCAAAAGGGTAACGGGGCTCAAGGTATCGCAATTGAATCTACGCCCAGGTTACCAACTCTTTTCAAGAGTTTAAGGATGTGTCTCCCCACCCTTCTCCAGTCAGAAAGCAGCAGTATATGCACTTCAGCTTAATGGTTATTCTTCCTTTTGCATTTAAGTTCCTTCCCCTACCCACCCATGAACTTGATTCGGTAAACCAAAGATCCGAATCAACTGGTGAGAGATTAAAAAAGGGTGATGAAATATTACCACCAGTCATGTGGAGTTTAAAAACCAGTCAAGATATCTTCCAATCAACTGAGTGGGATTCTTGATTGTAAGCCAGGGCGGTAAAGTACCAGACAGTTGCCCGGAACAAGCATCATCTCCAAGAAACCAGGCAGGAAAGGTTCTGTCAGCTTGGATAATTCCACCCCAACCCACCCCTTTCGGGCCGCTCCACAACATGTCCTGAATAGAACTATGTGGGCAGGCAGTCCTGTTGCTTCTACGGGGGTTGCCTGCCATTAGCACTACATTAGTCATCCTTGTGGTTACCCTTTAATAAAATGTTAAGACAGCATCTCTTCTCTCAACATAGCACCTTAAAAAACTAGCAAAATCTTTTCCAGTGTGAGCCAGAAGCCACGGACAGATGCAAGAAATTATTTCCGTGGCTCAGTGGTAGAACATCTGCTTTGCACGCAGAATGTGCTAGGTTCAGCCTCCGGCCTCTCTAGTTAAAAGGATCCAATGATGTGAAAAACCTCTACTTGACACCCCGGAGAGCCAGTGCCAGTCAGAATCGACAATAAAGAGAGTCTTCTGTAGTGGTTAGTAAGCCAGACCAGGATCTGGGTGACCCACATTTAAGCTCCCCACTTTGCCACAAGGTTTGCTGGGTGATATTGCCCAGTTACGAGGATATAAAGAACGTGGGGAGAATGATATATGGCTCCTTGAGCTCCTTGGAAGACTGGGATAAAACTGTAATAAATACACAAACAATAAAATTACGGGAAGACCACCTCATGTGATATACTTGTTTGACACTTATTACAAAGAGAGATGCCAGAAGACTCAGAATTCCAAGGCGCAAGGCTGTTTCATTACAATGCAGAGCTCAGAAGGCAAAAAGATCCAGTCAAAAAGACTAAAGCAAACCCAGAGTGGGTGCAGACCAGTGTTCCCTCTAAGCAGTTAGTGTGAGCTAGCTCACAGTTTTTTTAGCCTCCGGCTCACACATTTTCCTCTTAGCTCAGGAAGGATGGCTCCAGAGCAAACTAATTTAGGCAGTAGCCAAACCACTGCTCATAGCTTTAATGCCAGTAGCTCACAAAGTGGAATTCTTGCTCACAAGACTTTACAGCTTAGAGGGAGCATTGGTGCAGACCACTCCCAACTGTCGAGGAATTGGAAAAGAACCACTTGGAATAAATGGATTCCCTTTCTGATTGGATCTTGTTCTCAACTGGCCTCTCAATGCTCTTCCCCAACTTTTTCTGTTGCCTTACAGCCTTTATATAAAATGTTTTGGCCTAAATGGATGTACGCCCCATGGGTTTGATGGGAGTACTGTCTCAGGCAACCTTATGTTGGAATAAACTGTAGTCTAAGACAGGGGTGTCAAACATGTGGCCCGGGGGCCGGATGAGGCTCCCGGAGGGCTTCTATCAGGCCCGCAGTGGAACTGGCTGTCTTCTGTTGCTGCTTCTAGTTCTGCTGCTGCCGCGTCATTGTAGGTTTGCAGCTTACAGATACACGCCTGAACAGCATACTCAAGATTGCAACAGCAGACATTTTGATGTAATAATTTAGAGCAAGAGGTGTCAGTTATCGGACAGTGTTAAATTAACAAAATATTGCAAGTGTACTAATGTTTTAAGCATGTTTTTATTTTAAGTTAAAAAAAACCTTTGTGTTTGTGTCCTTTATAAAGTTTATATCCCCACTCCCTGGCATTACATTTTATGATACACATGGCCCAGCCCAACAAGGTCTCATTTATGTCAGATCCCGCCCTCATAACAAATGAGTTCGACACCCCTGCTCTAAGATATTACCTGACAACTGTTTTTATTTTGCTGTAAGGAGGGAACAATCAGTCGTTACAGAGAACCAGCCACTCCTTATCGCTAATGAAACCAACCTTGATAATATCAGATCTGCATATGAATTCCAAGTCCAGCAATATCAGGACTAAATCAGCCTATTGGGGATTTTAGTGAACCTCCCTGGACATGAGAGTTTTTTGTGATGTGAGGTGCTGCAATAAATCTATCTATATCTAAAGGTGTCACAAGATTCTTTGTTAAGCCCACTTGAAACTGAAACAGAGCACCCTTCTGGAATTTACCAGCATAAAAGCATTACCTCCAGAGGTGAAACCTGTTTACTACAATACATTTTGAGTGAAACTCTGGGGCAACTGTGCGCCGATCAACCACCGGATCCACATTTCACAAATCGCTACGACATGCAGCTTTGGTTTGGGATTTTGTTTGCAGAGCTGCCTTCTGCAACCAGCTGCAATAATAATGCTATCACAACACTGCAGGCCAGCTGACTGGGTTTTTTTTCTTGAAGCTCAGCAGAGATGATAGGAGGGTGTAAACAAAGCGATGGATTATTCCTGCATTCAGAGGCTCAGCATTCATCGTATGAAGTCACTTGAACAGAGCGAGCACCACTCCCTGCAAGCCCTGCCCATCGAGTTTTGATAAAGTGCAGTGCAGCACTGACCAAAAAGGGGAGGGGAAGAGAGACAGACGGACACTGGGAAGGGGTGAGGGGAAATGGAGGTCTCTCCAGCATTAAAGCATGCACAGTGTGTGAGCCACCCCCTCACATGTGCCATGTTTAATTTACTGAACAGAGCCACAAACTCCTTAGAAAGCCCTAGCCCAGAAACATATTCAGTACACCCAAGGGTAATTTCGTAGAAAAAGAGGTGCAGGAGCTCATTAGCATAACTCATTAGCATAATTTATTTGCATATGCCACACCCCCTGACATCACCGGAAGTGTGTCAGAAGGCGCCACCCACCGCTCAGGCTCCACTGGACTCTTTTGGATTCCTAGCTATTGGGGGGGGGGGGGGCGTGGCGGTGTCTCCCCTCAGGAGGAAGCGCTTGTACCTGAATAAAACTTGGCTCTTAAAGGTGCCACTGGACTGTTCGGGGGGCTGGGGGGAGCTCTGCAACTTACCTGGCTGC